CACTGACCTCTAGTGGTACCGGCACTGACCTCTAGTGGTACCGGCACCGGCGGCGGCGGCACCGGCGCAGGCAGCGGTACCGACAGCGGTAAGGACAGCGGTGCTGGCACCGGCACCAGCACGGGCAGTGCCCGTGCGACCCTGTGGGTGTGGGTGGCACTGGAGCACGGTCCTGTCGGGCTGCAGCCCCGGTGCTGCCGGGGCTTCCTGCTGTGGCCGAGCTGACAGCCCGCAGCCGGTGCTGGGCAGGCGGGAGGGCGGCTGCGGGAGGGCCGAGGCGGGGGTCGCGGCCGCGCTGCCCTGCGGGGTAAGGTGTGCTGTGCACCGCGGGTAAGGTGGGCTGTGCACCGCGGGTAAGGTGGGCTGTGTACCGAGGGTAAGGTGGGCTGTGTACCGAGGGTAAGGTGGGCTGTGTACCGAGGGTAAGGTGGGCTGTGTACCGAGGGTAAGGTGGGCTGTGAACTGCGGGTAAGGTGTGCTGTGTACCGAGGGTAAGGTGTGCTGTGCACCGCGGGTAAGGTGTGCTGTGCACCGCGGGTAAGGTGGGCTGTGTACCGAGGGTAAGGTGTGCTGTGCACCGCGGGTAAGGTGTGCTGTGCACCGCGGGTAAGGTGGGCTGTGCACCGAGGGTAAGGTGGGCTGTGCACCGCGGGTAAGGTGGGCTGTGCACCGAGGGTAAGGTGGGCTGTGCACCGCGGGTAAGGTGGGCTGTGCACCGCGGGTAAGGTGGGCTGTGCACCGAGGGTAAGGTGGGCTGTGCACCGAGGGTAAGGTGTGCTGTGCACCGAGGGTAAGGTGGGCTGTGCACCGAGGGTAAGGTGGGCTGTGCACCGCGGCCTCGCTCTGCCCTCAGAGGCCTCTGAGTCTTGCTCCGACTCCGAGGTCTGGTTGATCCCGTCTTAGCCGAGATACCTGTCCCGGGAGGGCAGGTGAGGACGGCAGGGATCCTGCACTGCACCGCAGTCAGTGGGCAGCACTTGGGGCTGCTCCTGCTCACGCATCCCTCCTTCCTGGGCTGCTGGAGGAGCTGAGGGATGGAGCTTCTGCCTGCAAGTCTGGATGTGGCCAAGGTCCTGAGCTGGGTGAGCACAGATCCCCTCGGCGGTGACCGGTTCCTGGAATGAACAGCTGATTCCCAACAGGAATCATCCTGTGTGCACTGGAGTTAAACCTGAATCCTGCACCCTTCTATGGACTATGGCTGACTATGGGAGTGCTTTGAGACCAGAGCTTCCCCCTCCCTACCCCTGAGTTAATTATTAGGGGGATTTTTGCATTTAATTTAAAAATGAGTTTAACTTCTCCTCAAATACTATTTTTCAGCCTAATTGAAACATAGTGTGTGTCTTCTAATTGCTTTGAAGAACCTAATAAGCGGCTCCGTAAAATCTAAAGGCTAAAAGCTGGAGGGTTTTAATAAATTTAACATTAGCTTAACATCTCCACAGGGACTGTAAAATATCTACTCATAAGGATATTTGCTTGAGCTAAGCAATGCAATTTATCCCTGCAGGTTAGCATGTATGTGATATGCAAACACTCCAATTTTTTATTTTTCTCATTATTTTAGAACTTTTTCTCAATTTTTCAAATATTTTAAAATAAAAGTTGTTTTTACTTTTAAATCTCTGAGGTCTGCAAAGATCTTTATCCTGAAGCAGAGGTGGGTCAGCTCCTGGGCTCCGGAGGCAGGAGGGTGAGTTTCAGCCTCCTCTCCTTCCTCCCCCCTGTCCCATCACTGCTCCCCTGCCCATGACTTCCTGAAGTGGGGTACAGGGGCTAGAGAGAGAGCCAAGGCTGGGGTGAGGGTCAGTGAAGGGTCATCCATGGTTCTACCCTGCTGGGGGGCAGCACAAGTGGTTGGAGCAGTGAGACCCCCTCAGTCGTTCCCCTGGGGCTCTCTCTGTGTGTGCAAACGTGAGGCCCAGCACAGCTCTGGGCTCTGCAGAGCAGGGCCTTGCCAAGCAGTGACCCCTGTGCTGCCTGGTCACCAAATATGATATATCAGTGATTTCCTGGCTAACATTTCAGCTGACACACCCAGCTGAGGGCCAAGGTGCTGGGCCCTTGTGGCAGAGCAGCTGCCAGCTGCCCATGCAGTGCGTGGACATGGTCAGCCTGGGCAGGCTCTTCCCTCCAGCCTGGAGCCTGTAACTCATGGGAGGTGAGAGCCCCTCCAGAGGGCAGGTCACTGCCCAGATTCGGAAGACCCCCATCTGATTCCTCTTCTGTGACCCAGGCAAGCCACAGCCTCTCCAGCTGGCACAGCAAAGCACCCTCTGGTGCCCAGCTGCGAGGAGGCACCAGTGCTCTTCAGATTCGTTTGGACCCAACAACAGCAGGATTCCAGAATTACCAATAATAGGTATTTATTTGAGTAATTAATGCCATTTGGTTTAAATGAAATTGCTGGATTATGGATGCAGCACCTGGGTTTGCTGAGCTGTGAATTAAGTTCTCAAAGACCAGAAAAGTGAGGATTTAGTGCCAGAACACCACTTTTGAGAAACAGCTTTCAGTGTTATTTGAAGCTCCTTGAAGGAACATTTTGCTCCTGATTTACGTCTTGAGCCCCCTGCAGCACCTAGGGGCTCCCAGGGGGAACCTCCGGCTCAGGGGTCCTTCTAATCTATGAGAGAATGGTTCTGCCAAGCGATTTGGGTGGATACTCTCACGGCGAGCAAGAACTGTGACAGAATCAGGGGTGGTGTCCAGCCCCCAGACTGTGCAGGTGTGGCCCCCACTCACCCCTGTGCACTGGTCGTGAGGGGTGGAGTGAGTGGGGGGTTTGGGGAGGGCTGGGCTGGGCTGGCAGGGACTCGTTTCAGGGTTTCTTTACCCCGGTGGCTGTTCCCGAGGTCCTTTGGGATGCTCGGCGCAGACTTGCTCTAAGCATCTGAAAGGGTGGAAAACGAATGTTTCCCTGGAGCCCCGGATGGGATCCAGCTGGTCGATGGGAGACTCCGGGGTCCGCAGAGAGGTACCGGGGGCGTTGTGTGCCGCTCCCGCAGCCCTCCTGGCCGTCCGTCGGGGCTGCCCCGGTGGGGGACATTGCATAACGCTTTACATAACCGGGCAGGGCGGTGCGGCCCCCCCGCACCTGCCCGGGGCCGAGGGGCCCCCCCGTCCCGGGTCCCCCCGTGCGCCGGAGGGGGCGGGAGCGCAGGAGCCGCCGCAGCCGCTCAGCCCCGGGGCCGGTGCTGAGGAGCCGCCGCCGGCTCCGAGCGGGGTCTGCAGCCCCCCCCGCCCGGCGGGACCCCCGGGATGGCCTCTGGCAAAGCGGCAGGAGAGCGGCGGTGGGAGCTGGTGCGCTGGTGAGTGCGGGGGGGGTCCCGGCAGACTCGGAAGGGGGACCCGAGCGGGAGGGGCTCAGTTTGTGAGAGGGTTTGGGCTTCAGCGTGGGGGGCGCTCCCAGCCCACACTACGGGAGTGGAGAGGAGCCCTCGCGGGGGAGCCCCGAGTGGGGTTGGAGGGACACGGGAGCTGGCCCCGGATCGCGGGCGCTGCGAGGGGCGCCGCGTGGTCCCGGCTGTCGCGGGGTGTCCCGGTGCGGGGGTTCCCGGCGGGGCGGCTGCTCCAGCTGGGGGGGGACACGCTGGGGTGCAGGGAGAGGGCAGATCTGTGCTTGGAGGGGGATTATTGGCTTTTGGGTTCCTGTAGAGGCAGAAGAGTCGGATCCCAAAGACTTCCTGCACCTGGAAAGGTCCCTGCCCGCGCAGAAGGAAGTGTGGGAGCGGCAGCGTACCGGGGATGCCGGGGTCCCCCCACCCGCGGGGAGTCCCCGGGACACGCGTGGGGTGCTGGGGCTGCTCCGAGCTCTGGCGTGCAGGGATGGGGCTGGGAACAGGGCGCTGGCCGTGCCCGGAGCAACCGGCACGGGCTGACATTGGGAACAAGCTTTCTCTGTGTTCTTTTATGTTGAATTGTGCAGTTTGTGACGTCCGAAGCTTGTGACTTTTGAGCAAGGCGCTGCGGCGATGCCAAGCTGTGGCTGGGTGACTCCGCGGGGACACTGATGGAAGCTCCGGGATGGGGCCCAGGCTGGTCCCGGCAGCTCCAGGGCGGGATCAGAGCCTGAGCCAGGCCGGGGCTGGGTACTGGAGCCCCAGCTGTGGGTGGGAGCCCCGCAATCCCGGGCGAGTAGCCAGAGTGGGAGTCACTGAAGCTTTTTTGGTTTTTTCCTCTCCCTTTCCCCCTCTCCTTGCGGACAAGGACACTTTTTTCTTTGCACACTTAGACACAAACTGTCACAGCGGCTGCTTGGGCTGGCTATTCTGCATCTCCACTGCCTCACCCCTCACTTCCCAAAGGACACCCTGGCTTACCTGCCTCTGCTCTGTGCAGGGTTATCGTATACCAGGGCTGCAGGGAGCACTGGGACTGCACCATGCTTGGTTGCTTTTACCAAGAAAATTGGCAGGTCACTCTGTGCTTGGCATGCTCAAGAAGCCCTTCCTTTAGCTGCAGCAGGAGGTCCAGGTTCCTGCACCCCCTGCTCCACAGGACCCCCTAGTGCTGGGCTGGGCAGGGTGGGTTCAGGTGGGTGGCAGAGCCCAGCAGAAGCAAGCGGCTCATCAGGGCTGTGTGGAGCTCATGGCACTGTGGTGCATCCCCTTTGCCCCATCAAAGCAACGTGGCCAGATCCTTGTAGTTAATGTTGGCAATGAACCTCCTGGAGCATCCACACACAGAGGAGAGGACATGAGCTCGCCCCAGCCCTGGCTGAGGTTCATGGGCACTGCAGCTGTGTGTGCGTGAGTCTCCAGCCAGTACCACAGGGGCTTTAAATTATTAATGGCTTGCTGATGAAATTTCATGTTCAGAGCAGGGTGTGTGAAGTGCAGCTGGCTGCTGGGATGGAGGCAGGCAGCAGGATTTTATTCTAAAAGATGAGAACAACTGTGGTTACCAGGCTTTTGCTCACTTGACAGAGAATCCGTACTTCTTTAATTGAATTCATAACCATTGATTCATCACTTGAATATTACTTAATAAGCCTCAACATCTGGCCTGACATTTGAAATGATGCTAGAAAGGCATTATCTTGGCCTCGAAGCTAGTGATAGCCTAGGGACAGGGCTGGTGGTGGGGGGGAGGTGGGTGGGTATTGGGGGCAGGCTGTGCCCCAGGGTGACAGTGCTGTACCTCTGCCCCCCGGGCCTTTACAGAGGAGTATCCTGTGCTGCTTTGGAAATGTTTGCTCTTTGCTTTTTTGCACGTGGCAGTTATGTGTGCTCATGGGTCTGGCCCAGGGGTCCCACGTTGGTTGGGGGCTGTACAGGGGCTACAGCTGGCAGTGGCCCCACAGATGCCCATCTGGAGGGTGCAGGGACCCCCCCCTCTCTCTGGGGGTCACCCTCAAGGAATGCCCTGTCCCAGCCATGGCCACGTGCCTGTGGGAGGGTTGGCTGATGGGCAGTGGGAGACAGGGATGGTGCAGGGATGCAGGCAGAGAGTCTGTAATGTCATTTTCTGCTTCCACTGAAGAACGTGGTGGTGTTGGACTCGCAGCTCCGAGTGGCACTGCTGAGCCAGCCACTCCCTGTGTCCTGCCTCTCCCTCCCCGCAATCCAGCACTAATGAATATTTCAGTCTCTCTGGATGTTATTTTTAGGTATGTGCGAGAAGGCCGCTTTCGCATCGAGGAGAGGACACTGACGGCTTTCCAGTGGCTCTACTCACCTCACCAGCACCGCATTGTCAGCCGGGCAGACCTGGGCTCTCCCAGCAGGTAAGGGGGGCCAGTGGGTGCAGGGCTGGGGGGAGCACGGGCACATCACCTGCCAGTGCTGCTTGCTCTGTCACAAGCCCTCGTGGTTTTGACATGGGCCACCTAAGCCCAGCCTGTCTGGGAGCCCTGGGTCACCTGAACATCTTGGGCTTTGCTTTAAAATAAAGTTCCAGGTGCACTAGCTGTACCAGGAGCTGCAAACACCGTGTATGTGCCATTGGGTTTAAAGCAGTGGAAGGGACTTACTGCCTGTCCACCCAGACTTTGCTTTTAAACTCCCTGTGCTTTTGGTCAAGCACAAACCTGTTGAGGATCTGCTTTATGCATGCAGCACACTTAATATTTACTTAAAAACCAGTTGGGAGCCAGGGCCCAGCCATCAGTGATCCCTGGAAAATATATGTTCTGATATTCCGATTTTGTTCAGTGCTTAAATTCTCCCCTTGGGAGCTGCATCCCAGGCATATGCCATGGCTCTCCCTGCTGATGCATATGCATCGCTGTCTGTTCCCATCCTGTGTTTGATGATAAAACACCATTAACATAAAAGCCTCACGGGCCTCCAGACACAGAGAGCGCAGCGTCTGTTCTCCAGCCTGCGAA